AAATAATATTGGAATTGGTGGTGGCGGTGGAGTTACTGTTGTTACCGGTTATAGTCCTCAACGACGTTTTTTATCGGAAAGCGAGCTTATCCATGCCGATCATTCTTATTCGAGAACCAACAATACCGTTGACAACATTAGAGAACTTGCAGGTTCGCCACAGCGTGGTGCATATACGTGGAAAGATAATTCACCTGGTAGCTACCAAGTAATGGGAGGAAATATATCATCATCGACAAACACGGGAGCAGCAGCCGCAGCAGCAGCAGCAGCGGCAGCAGCAGCAGCAGTAGCAGCAACCCATCAATCTCCTTCTCAAAGACCACCACCACCTTATGATTATTATCGTTCTAATCCAACTAGTCCAACTCAACAATCTTATACAACTGCTCCAAGAGCAGCTTATCATCCAGCTATGAGAGGTGGCGTACCAGTCTTCCCACCCCATCAGCCGCATCAACAATCGCCGCAAGTTAAAAGAAAAGCTGTTATGGCAACGCCAACAACACCTACTTCTGGCGATACCAGACGTAGACCTATGTCATTTGTTAGAGCATTAGAAATGACGGACTCTATGGAAATGGTATCTGCTCCTAACGATCCAAGATCGCAAAGACCTACCACACCAACACCAGATCGAGCAAGTGTTTACGATATGAGTTACGAGATATCCGTATAGCCCATCTTTCCAGTCTCCGTACAATCCTGCCGTTGGACGGAGAGAGTGCAGATATTGCTACCCTTATGCGTCTCTCGTTCAAATCAAGAAGGAACGTACATTACTTACAATATATCCGTCTAAAGGAAAACAAACAAACAAGAAAGCAAACAGCAGCAGCAACATTATTGTACGTTGATATCGAAAATAATATCAACTACATTAAATCCTATTGGTCCAGTCTCTTACATACATATGATCACTTTTCATGTATATTCTTTATACACTAACGCTAACCGAGGAACTATATTATTTTCTTCGAGAGACTAGAGTTAGCGTTACCACGTAAATTATATTATATTTGTAAAATCGGTAATTACGATAACGATGATGATGATGATGATGATGATAATAATAATAATGAGGATGAATAACAATATCTATAATACTAAAAAAAATAATGATCGAATAATGATTATGATTACGATGACGACTATGATGGTGATGATGATGATGATGGTGGTGGTGGTGATGATAATTATAACAATGATGAGTGTGTGAAAATTATTATATAATATAATAAAGGCGGCTAGTTAGAGCCATAAGTAATGTTACAGTAATCGACGCGAATATTTTAAAGAGAATGAAAAAGAAAGAGAAGAGAAGAGAAGAGAAAAAGAAAAGATGACAGAATAATACCGAATTATTTTCCATTGCGAACTCGCATACCAAATAGAATGTAATATCGTACGGAGAAATACATTTATTCTCCGTTCCATCATTTTGGGACTTTTACGAAAATATAACGTAAACTATATATATATATATATATACATGTATATATACATATGTATATATATGTATATATACATATATATATATTCATACATATATATGTATATATATTTAAAAAAAACGCGATAAGTTAGTCGCGTTATTAAAGAAAATTCTGTGTAAAATAATCGTGAAATGTGTAGTAAAATTTTTAATATACATATATATATTTATATATATATATACATATGCATATGAATATAATACATATGTATACGTATATATATACATATATATATTTAACAATATTTATACGTAAATGATAAATATAAGACTTTATATAATTTCACCTATATATATTTGTTATGGATCCACATCATTTTATTATGTACGTGCCCAACTTATAAGACTTTTGATTTTTATGAAAAAAAAAAAAAAAAAAAAAGAAATGAAGTAACAAAAAAAATACATATGGGGGAAGAAAAGTCAAACGAACAAACAAACAAAAAAAAAAAGGAACAAACAAACGAAGCATACAAAGTAGAATGTGGAGAAAAAAAAACCAGAAAATTTTTGTGAGTGTGTAAGAGAAAGTATGCGAACGAATGCGTCCTACACCATACATACACATAAACACAACACACGTGGCGAGAATTTGGAAGTTAAAAAAATACAGAGGAAAAAAAATAAGACCATAAAAGACACATACAGTTTTTAGGTATATAAATAAAAATACATACAGCATATGTCTCGCTAAATATATACATATATATATAAACATATACATATACATACACCGAGTAAATGCTACTATGAAAAGAAAAAAAAGAAAGAAAACAAAACGATTTGTACTATACACAATGTCGCGTTTATTAATTGATACATTAATTAATCACTTAATTAATTATTATTATTATTCATTGCCGTTACATTATTATTATTATATTTGTAATATTATCTTAACTTTTGGCAAACTCTATATGTCAATTTTCGACATATATATATATGTATATGTGAGAGAGGATTGATACACACAAGAACAGACTGTAAAGTTATCGCTAAAGGAGAAAAAAAAAAAAAAGAAAATACCTTTGCATAAACGCACTTCGTTTATAATGGAATCGATAATTAACGTACTATTTCATAGCACATATCGTTCTGCTAAATAACGATGATAAAAAGAACATCGAAATTTTCTAATTGTCAAATTTTCATTAATATATATGTGTATATACATATGCATATGTACTATCCAACTTTGAACGAAAGATCTCTGTACTCTGGGAGCTTTCTTTTCACAGGATAGATAGAGTACATAATATTTTCATGAATATACATATATATATATATGTATTATATATGTTTGTTATTTGACAAAAAGAAAACTATTCAAGCATTGTAAGAATTCCTTCCATGTTAAAACGCTTTTTAAAAAAAGAAACAAGAGAATGTGTTGTTGCCCGCCGTCTTTAAAGATTTAGCTTCCATATATTCATTTTTATATTTCAAAGAGAGAGAAAAAAAAAGAGATCTGTGCCAAATTTCCACTCTCCACACCACTTCTCAAATCGCCCCGAAACCGCCCTTACTTTGTATTAGGACAAAAATCGGTATATAGGCCCGGTTGCACCACTTTTACTAGAAATTTAAGTGATGAAACCCTTTTAACACGTTGACTGCCACGCGCGTTTACAGTGAAATCTTCTTCAGGCCATGCGTACCACCGCTGTACGTAGCGTATTGTGCTGGGTATTCCCACCAATATTTTAAAAATGCGAAGAATAACTTCGTTTGTTTCCGTGGTATGATGCTCGGTCATTTATTTTCATTACTTCGCATTTGTTTCTTATTTCGCCACTGTATAGGATCAGTTTGACTCTTTGCCGAGTAACGAGCGGTATAACTTAAAATCTCTACTCTAATTCGTTGAAATGTCGAAAAGGAAAAGGGAAAACTTAATTGTTAGAGAGTCAAATAGCAGTGAACAAGAAAGCTTTTACGAGCCTTACACAAATTCAAATAGCAGCGATGAGGAAGAGAAATCAGATTTCCTAGAAATAGGAATGTAAATAGAATTACATCATCTGATTCCGATTCGGATACCGATCAGTGCAATGATAGTGATACTGAATACAATGAAAATTCAATTGACGAGATTTTGCAAGAATTGATCATTGATGAAGACAGAGAAGGACTGATGATACCGACGAAAATACAATTGAATTTGGCGAATGGAATGAATTTAGTGATCGGGCAGAAGTCATTTATATTAATAAATATAGTTTATATTAAATAATACTCAATAGTTTTGTTACTTACTCTGCGAAATATCTTTTCAAACAAATACGAACGTTCTGCGTAAGTAGTTAAATAAGTCGTCACCCCAATACGGGTGACGCGGCCCGATCGGAAACTTTACTGTCACCCGAATATGGGTGACGTGACAGTCAACGTGTTAATGGAAAAAAAAAAAAATAATAATAATAATAAAATAATAATAATCATAATAATAATAACAATAACGATAATAATAAAGGCACGCCTTAATAACGAGCTAGAACTTCATAGTTTTTAGCAAATGTTTGTTTTATATTTTTTTTTTGTTATTCTTTTCTTTTTTAATTTTTCTTTTTTAAATGCTTCACTTGAATTTGCAGTGAAGATAGTGCAATCCCCTAGACGACCATAGTTTTATTAGTGTCATTATTATTAAAATGATGCACTTTAAAAGAGAAAGAGGAGAGAAGAAGAGGATGAGGAAGAGGAAGAGGAATATGAACACGACAACGGTACAACACACAATAAAAAATAAAATAAAAAAGAGAAAGAGAGAAGAAATAATATTGATTAAGAAAAAACAAAAAAAAAAAATAAACTTTAATGCATAAGATTTGTGACGAATGTTTAGTGTTTATAAAACTTGGTGTACTTGTACATAAAACAAAAAATACTGCTCGTTATTATCACTTAAATGTACATATACATTTCGGTACTTACGTATCGTCTACGAAATAAAAGTCATGAAAATATAGTTCATTATCGTATATATCTATTTGTAATTAAATTAGATAATTTGTAAACCGTTTAACTTATTATTCGAATTTGTTTGGTCGGTGTCGCGTTAAGTCGACTTTTGAATTCGCCGCCAAAAGTACGAATGTTCGTCAAAGCATATCGAGAGATCGAATATTTTTCGATATATGTATCAAATGTATTTAATAATTTCAATATCGTGTTAAATCAATTATTCAAATTTACCATTACCGAAAATACGGGTGTTCGTAAAAACATTTCGAAAGATTCGTCGAATATTTGTCAGTATATATACATATATATATATCAAATATATTTAATAATTTCAGTGTCACATTAAATTATTATTTGAATTTGCCGCTAACGTTCGTAAAAGCATTTTGAAAAATTCATCGATTATTTCTTCGCTCATTATTGATTTATATTTGTTCATATTTATAGAATATATTTAATAATCAATTTGTTTTAGAGAAAGAGAATTTTAATTATAAGGATGTGTATGTTTTTTATTTAAAAAAAAAGAAAAGAAAAAAATTATTTGATTAAAAAGGAGAGTAATTGAATATATGAGTTCACGATTCTTTCGCATAGATGGCACTGAATGCGCGCTGTTGTCAAGTTCGACGAACGCTATCTAAACTAGTGTTGTGATGGAGACTAAAATGAAAGTAGCATAGCGGTAACCGTAGTACACTGTATATTAATTATTTCAAACACTTCTAATTATTTATATATATATATATAAAAAGAAAAAAAATCTTTATGATAAAATCTAAATTAAAAAGAACAATGTTATTTACTTTCGAAATATAACCAATTTTATTTCTAAAAATGAGACTCCAAAAGATCATGTTAAACGTTATCTGGGTAATTTAGGAAAATGATGAAGTCGACAAGTATTAAACTTGTGTTGAGTGTTGACCTAAAAATGGACCTTGAATTTTTATAATACGAATGTTATCTATTACCAAGTAAAAAAACGAAGAAAAAGTGAGAAAGAAAGAAAGAGAGAGAGAGAGAGAGAGAGAGAGTGAAAGAAGGAGAGTAAGAGTGAGAGAAAGATAGAGAGAGGAGAGAGAGAGAGAGTGAGAGAGAGAGAAGGAGAAAGAGCACATCGAACTTCTAAGATCGGTTGTGCTCTTAGTTTAGAGTATTTTGTTAATCATCGTGACGAGGTGCGATGAAGTAAAGCTGGAGGATGATGGGCGATCAGTTTCGTAGTAAAGTGGAGCAGTACTCGCCAAAGTCATCACCGAGGGGTGCACGTTCCCCTGTTGTTTCTCGCCAAGACTCGACAGGGACCCTCAAAACGACGATTTCCCTCGGAAAAAATCCTTCCATCGTCCACAGTGGTCCTTTTTATTTAATGAAGGAACCACCTGGTAATCATACGTATTATTACAATTTTTATTCATTCCTTATTGGTTACAATTGGATCTCGTTGTTTATTCTCATTGTATATACAATTAAGTACTCTTAAAATAAAATTGACAAAATTTCAAACACACACTTAGTACGCATTCAGATTTGATTTCTTAGTTTTGTGTTATTCGGTTACTAATTGCTTTATCATAGTTATTTTATTCTATTACTATAGTTTGTCATTTATTAATCTATGTTTGGCAGTAGTGTTATTCGTATAACAAAATAGACAAATGTCAGTTTTACATTTTGATTAGATTTTATTACAAATCAGCAAGAATCTTTTAGGTAACAATTGTATATATGATTAGGTTGACCGAAAAGAGTTTTTACTTAATTCTAAGAAAAATTTGTTTTTATATTTAAAATATTCATTTAATATATATATATGTCTAACATTTTTCTGGCACTGTTTTTCCAAGAAATGTCAGCGTAATTTATCCAAGATAATAAGAAAATAATGTTATATAAACATAGGTTATTTAAAGATTTATTAAAAAGTTATTTTTGTGCATAAAATACGCTGACACTATTTGACCAGGGAAATTTCAGACATCGTTTATATTTATAAAAAATATTCATTTCAATTCTATATCAAAATTCGCTTTTCCAATTCTAAAACAAGCATTCATATGAAGAATCTTATGACGGAGGTCTGATTGTACTACAATTGAAATATTACAAAATTTAATTTTAATGAATAATTTTTACAATTGTGTGTAACTATTTAATGGATGAATTAATTTTTAGGGGAGAGTGAACTTACTGGAGCAACGAATTTGATGGCATATTATGGTCTAGAACATTCCTACAGTAAATTTAGCGGTAAAAAGCTCAAAGAACAATTATCTTCGTTTCTTCCTAATTTACCTGGCAATATCGATACACCTGGTCATCAAGATAATAGGTAAGATAATAAATGTTTATTTATTCAGCATGTAATTAATTTAGTTATATTCATAATTTTATATTCCGCAGTTCATTAAGGTCCGTAATAGAGAAACCTCCAATTGGTGGTAAAGAATTATTACCACTGACTAGTGTGCAATTAGCTGGTTTTAGATTACATCCGGGACCAGTAAGATCTCATTATTCATTATTTATTATTTATTTGTTTATCATTATGAAGAAAATAATTTTCACTATTGTTAATTTTCCCTTCTTCTTTTCTATTTTTTTAGTTACCCGAGCAATACAGATATGTAAATCAAGCACCACAAAAGAAACATAAGAACAAACATAAAAAGCATAAACACAAACCTGGTGAAATACCAACCGGACAAGAAACAGCTACCACCGATATCAGCAGTTCGGATACACACGAAAAGAAACATAAAAAACAGAAAAGACACGACGAAGAGAAAGAAGCAAGAAAGAAAAGGAAAAAGGAGAAAAAGAGGAAAAAACAAAAACACAGTCCGGAACACACCGGTGGGCTCACACCTTCTCAGCATTCCAATTCGTGATCTCTAAATTGTGAAATAACATTTTTAAAATCCGTCGTCATTCTAATTGATGCAAATGAGTTAATTCTATATATTTTCACTTTATACGTATACACGTACGCGTCATCATATTAATAAATGTTTACACCGTTTGTATATAATCAATATTTTGTGATCTTAGGGTTTATTCGATAGTCAAATCGATAAGCAACGTTTGAATTTGTTTTGTACAGTTTCTTTTATTATTCATCTTTGTTTTGATTGCGTCGCATTGAAAGTAATTTAAAACAACAATTTATATATATATATATCATGTAGTTTTAAATTATTTTTAAATAATATCATTTTGATCTTTCATTCAAAGTTGTTGTACAGATTATATCTGATATAAGAGTATTATAAAAAACAAAAAAATTCATTCTTTAAAAATTTTTTTTGTCAATTGATGATTCTCCTTTGTGCATCCAATTGACTGTTTTAAATAAATAATCGCATACAAAGAGAGCGTATCTTTAAAATATATTAATTAATTTTCAAGTGTATGTATAGTATTTATATAAACGCGAAGATAAAAGTATAATTTAATAATCTTTCAACAATATTTCATTATCTTTAACACCGACCCATAATTATATTTATAAATATAACCTAATTCTTTAGTTATATAAAATAATTGAAGAAAATCCTCTCAAAAAAATATAAAAAGATAATTATTTGTATATTTTAATATATATATATATATAACAAATAAGAAAAAAAGGGCCAACAAGTATCTCATTTTTAATATGATTTATAATTCGAAGAACGGAAACTGTTACTTGAAAGTTTTCAATCAATCAGAATCCAGGTTAAATCAAGTACGAGTTTAATTAAAACTGAAAAATAATAAAAATTTTTTAAACTAACCAAATATATTGTAAATATTGTGTTATTAATGATTCTAATTTTTATTTATTAATATTAGATTATATATGATTTGTGTTTAAACAATTGTAAATTGTATATATCATATTTATAACTAAACAGTAATGAATATGATTAGAGTTGCTGATTCGAGTTATGAGTACTTCCGGTAACATCAGTAACTTCCGTTAGTGAAGGAGAGCTCTGTTCCAGTTTTGCGACAACACCTGAAACGATAGTGATCGTTGTAGGCGGTTAATTTCCCGCCATTACTTGCTATTTTTAACAAAACTGGAGATTGTTCCCTATCCACTATGACGGATAATCGTAAGTGGTTTTATTTTATTAATAACAATAATAAATATTATTCTAGATTCACTTAAAAATTTCTTATTGATTTTATTCGAAAATATTCGACCATTGAATTATATGTTCCACATTTGAAGGGAACACGAATGACGCTCAATGAAACGAACATTCAATATGAAAAAGAATCCAAAAGAATCCATAATTTAACCATTAAATTAAATTATAATATTCATACGTTAGAAATAAACATAGTTTTATTTAACATTATTTTAATTTTTGATATAAGTTTGATAGATGCGATTACGTTATATATAATCATTTGTACAGTATCACGTTATTGTAACTTTTAATTAGTATTTATACCAATCGATATTCAATATACACGTTTTATCGTTTTCTCTTTGTTTTCTTTTTTTTTTTTTTTTTTAAATTATTTATTTATCTACACACAATGATTGATTTGTATTTTATCATAATGGGCGTGTTTTATTTAAAAAAAATGTATTATCAGTCATATATTTATCTTCAGTTGATACTACTTGTCATAAACAATTAGTAATTCTTTAAATATACCTCTAGATAAGTATTTTTTTTTGTATATGTATGTAAATATATGAATGTAATTGTGTAAATAAAACAATTGTAATTTGTAGAGTATTCGAGTTACCAACAACAGGGGTACAATCAATACAGTCAACCCCCTCCGACAGCAGGACAGGATACATCTTATCCACCACCTTCTACCGGTGGTGGTAATTACAATCAATATAGTCAACCCCCTCCTAATACCGGAGCTGGTTATGGGAATTATAATGCTTACAATACCGGAGGTGGCCAAGATTACAATCAATCACCTGGTCAAAGCGGTTATGGACAAAACAGTTACAGTGGCAGCAATTCTGGTAACAGCGGTAGTGGAAGTTATGGAGGAGGAGGAGGAGGAGGAAGTTACAGTCATGGAGGAAGCAGTAACAGTGGTGGTGGTGGATACAATCGTAGCAACTCTAGTGGAGGATACGGTGGAGGTATTAATTTCAATTACATTAACAATATTTAACATTGAACAAAAATTGTCTTATATAAACACCAACAACATTGTAAAACTGTGTAAATGTTGTATTGTAGGCCAAGGTGGCGGAGGAGGTAGATATGGGGATCGTGGAGGATATGGAGACCGCTCTGGTGGAGGATACAAGTAAGTATATTTAAGATTTTATCTAATACACTACAAAGAAAAAAAGAAATAAGAGCGTAAAGAAAAAAAAACTGTAATGCCAACAGCATACCTAAGGCTTATACATATGATATCTATTCAACGAGGAGGTAATTCTGTTTTTTTTTTTACTACTAAAAAAGGTATGGAATTTAATTCTTAATGAAAGTCTTATGACGAACTGTTTTGTGTTTGAGAAAAAAAAAACAAAAAAAAAAAAAAGAACAACTCATCTCTTGTGTCTTTGCAAAAAAAAAAAAATGGTCTCATGCCCGATTGGGCGTTAATATGTTTGAAGTATGCCTACAGGTTTAACACAGGTATAACTGGTAAAAGTAAAGGTAATTAACAGGTTGTATATGACAATTGACGTAAAATGATATACGCTGTGTATGTTTTTTATTAAAACTACATAGCCCAAGTTGGTTCTGCATTATTTATATATATATATTGAGATATATCAAATAATATGTTTAATATGCGTATACACGTATTATACGTATGGTCCTCCAAGTTTGGTATATGTATATTTCGTACATATACGTATATATACATACATACATATATATACACGTAGAAGTTTATTATTATTAATGAACATAAGCGGTTGAGATACTGCCACTGGAGCCACTGTTAGGTACTTGCAGCTAATTATAATATACTAGTAATTAAAAACTGACAGTTATGGGTTGTTGTTATTGTTGTTCTTGTTGTTGTTGTTATTATTATATTATGATTATTATTATTTAAAAAAGAAAAAACAGTCCATTATAAGAGACACTGTGTTGATTTATGTCTGCTGGCTGGCTGACGGTGTTTAATAATAAATCATGGGGATTGTAATCTATTTAGGACACGATAAACAGGGCTTTTTGACATTATTCTTTGTTTTTTTGTTTTTTATTTTTTTTGTTTAATAATATGTCTTACTTTTTACTTTTATATACATTATTATATATATATATATAAATGTTTAAGTAATGTACGAGAATTATCATTTTTGATTCTTTTTTTTTAGATATTTTTTTTTCTCAAAGTAGTTTACCATTTAATCGGGTATGGGGAAAGAAAAAAATAAGATAACTTCTACATTAACTTAGCTTTTTGTATCGTTAAGATTTTTCACTTCTTTATGCTTATCGATAGTCAAATATTTTCATATAAAAATATATATATATATATATATATTTCTAGTTAAACTCTAAGAGAAAAAGAAAGATCTAAATTAATATTTGAAAAGTAGATTATTGAAAATATTATTTTTAGCTGAGCCATTATTAAACGCATTACGAAAACATTTAAGTATCTATTTTTGGCCAACATTATTTGATTGTGTAAAGATTTGTTGTATCTATCTCTTTTTATCTCTTTCTATCTCTATTTCTCTCTCTCTCCCTCTCTCTCTTTCTCTATCTATCTATCTCTATCTTTTTTTCTATGTGTATGACATGACTGACGGACGTAACATTTACATTTACAAATATTATTATTATTATTATTATTATTATTTTTGTTTTTATTTTTATTATTATCATTATTATTATTATTATTATTATTATTATTATTATTATTAGCTGTTTTAAACAAAAAAAAAAGAAATAATATGGTGACTACAGACATTTAGACAGTAGGTACATCAAGAAGAAAGATGGCGAGCACAACATTTGATTCGCCATGCATCGATTGATCAATCAGTCTGTCCATGAGTCGACTCATTGGTATATCTGCTTCTGTGTTTTAGCAGTGGCGGTGGCCGAGGTGGTTATAACAAAGGTAAATGCACCAGACTGTCTGTACTAGTCTGGTGCTATTCACGCTTTCACTCTAATATTTACAATATCTAAATACTCGGTTACTTATATGAAAGGGCTGCTCTGCAACATTGTTAGGTTCATATATATATATATATATGTATTTTATATTATCTTTATATACATTATATATATATATATATATATATATATACACGTTATATAACAAAAAATTATATATAAAATATACTTCAATATTTATTAATCGTGAGAAGAAAAAGAATATATGTGACACTCCTGTGGTAAAACGCAAAGTTATTTTAATCACCAATTGCTTTTTGTTGCTTAAATTTATTTATTTAAAAAAAAATAAAAAACAGAACGATAGATTATAATCTGCTTAAACAATTTGAAATGTTAGGTAATCGCGTTGTACTACCGTTCATTATAATCAAATATTTTTCTAATGTTCTCTATACTTCAATATATACGAAAACCATTATAGTTGCATGCAGTATCTAATAAGTTAATTTAATGACTAATCATTCAGTAAACTTTTGTAATTATCTTTCGTATAATTCATTTGAATAAAATTATATACATTAATGATAAATATTATCTAAATGTATACTTGCATATTTCAATATCATTGAGATCCTTGATTAAAAAATAAATACAAAAGGCAACTGGTGAAATTGATTTTAATAATAATAATAATAATAATAAAAATAATAATAGTAATAATAGTAATAATATTATTACAGAAATAATTGAATTTCTTAGAAAGGATGTTGCAGGACAGGTTTGTTGTTGAAGGGTGAAAAGAAATAATGTTGCAGCCCTTTTATATGTTAAGCTGCAACCTTGTGTTACTTACATACTATTATACAACTGATAAGGGTTTTTAGGGTTCAGAGAGTATTAGTATAATTATTTGGTATATGAAGAGATGGATCTGTGGAAACGAGAAAGTATTCTCATATCTACAAGAAACAGAAAAAAAAAAAAAGAACTTATGTGCTGTGAAAGAGGTTTTTAAGAATATATATTTGTAATATTATTTCAACAAAAGTAAAAGTTGAAAATATATATATATATATATTATATTATATATACACACATATATATATATATATATAAAAAAAGATAATGAAAAATCGCAATACAGGAACTTGCGTTTGTTTGTGTCGTTAGCGAAAATACTATATATAAAAAAAGAAAGAAAGAATTTTTTTTTTGAAGAGGGTGCATAAAAGCGAAAGTGTTCACGAAAGCATAGCTCCGTTTTATACGGACTGATATTTCTCTGATAAATTTTATTACAAAAGAGAAAGAAATTATTCATATTTAGGATACGTACATGTGCATAATTCTTTTTTAATTTTTTTTTTTTTTTTTTTTATTATTTTTTTTATGTTTTCTTTTTAATTGTTTTTTTTTAATCGTTACTATATAGTAAAACATACAAACACAATTCTCTTTAGAATCCATTGGAAGAGATTTTCATGATATTCTTTTTTTATTTTTGTAAATATACCTAACGCCTCTCTGTGTGTAAAAAAAGAGAGCAGCGTCTAACACTCCCCCCGACAGCACATTAAGTTAATAATTATTATTTAAGATTGGTAGAAAATCAAAATTATTTATCGAATAACATAGTAATACTTTACAGGTTTATAATTAATAAACGGATGGCAATGCTGCTTGTTGACATTATTATTATTATTATTATTATTATTATCATTATTAT